GGATTTCRCTGGTAGATTTTTAGCCGGGCCAATCAGAGAACGTCAATTTTCTGCGCAGTGTCTGCTTGTAGTTTATTTTACCTGGGCCAATCAGAGAACAGAAGGAGGAGCTTTGAACGAAGTCGACTTTCTGCGCAGTGTCTGCTAGTTATTTTAGCATACGGCAGTGGAGGAAGTGAATGAAGCCAGTCTGTCCTGATGCATCTCAGTAATCCAGGTAAAAAATCAAAGGAAAAATATTGTATAGGTCCTCTGGACGGGTTCTTCTTTAATGAAACGTTTCGTCTCTCTTCCAAGAGACTTCTTCAGTCTGAGAGTTTCAGGCAAAATTCAGGCTTTTATGTCCTCCCTCCAGGTGACTGATACTCACATCACATGACCATCGTTCACAGGTGACTCCCACTCACATCACCTGGCTATGACTCACAGGTGACTGATACCCACATCACATGGCCATCGTTCACCCTAATTAATCCCTTTTGTTAACAGGGGGTGGAGTGATACTGCCAATGGCAGCGCTGTAGCAGGGGGACAGCTGAAAACGGAGCCAGTCTGTGTTGATAAGGCTTCCAAATTAAAATAAATTTACCTGACAAAGCAGCAGCTCTCATTTACAGTCGTCTCGTTTGGCTCTGTACTTTTCTCCTCTCAGTAGGGTTGTTTACAGCACACGCVATTTCCGGTTAGCTTCTTAGCTTAGCCTCCATCACACCGAAAACACACACATGCTTCAGCAGAGGCCACGCCTCCGGCAAGAAATCGATTCTCTATGCAGCAAGTCCAGACCCTTGTACGAAGCAAAGTGAAGGACAGGGTCTGGTTTAAAACAGATTTAAAAAAGACCTCAACAGAAACTAAAGACACAGTGATGTCTCACAGCAACACAACGGTCCCATCTTTAATTTAAGGCTGAGCATTCCTCGAAAGAATGCATATCATTCGCTGTCTTTCGTCCCAGAGTTTTAGACTAAGATCATATTATTAAGTTGAGAAATGTTGAGTGTGYATGGTGAATAGCACTCAGCTACTGTCACACGAGTTGCTGTTGTCACTTGTGTATTTTCAGGGTCAATTGCCCATCAGTAGAACCGTTTTTAAAACCATGCGATAAAACAGAGACAAGAAGCAGACAATATACAGAAGTACATTTTAGGTATGCAAATAAAGCGTTACTAGAGAACAAAGAACTGCTGGGGAAATATTTAAAACAGATGATCAAATTAAAACAGATGATCAAATTAAAACAGATGATCAAAGTTAACGAGAATGACAAGGGGTGTGTGTGTGTGTGTTAAAAGGGAACAAGAACAAAGAATTATTCAAAACATTTAAAGCTTCACTTTGACTGGAGCTGATTTCATTAAAACTTGTGTACTCAGTGAAGGTTGATGCAGATCAAAGGTGAAATCTTGAGACCTGTGTTACACAAAGCTCAATTCATGACTCAGTTTTAGGATTTTAGATGATGTCACTTTTAAGACCTAGAAACAGGCGTGTCCCCGGACCCCTCCACTGCACGTAATGATGGTGTGTGCGTGCCGAGCAGCGCGTCGCTTTTATAGAGAAATACGAACTGAAGCTGCAGCTTTCTTCTGATAAATAAATAACTGGGGCTGTCTGGGGTCTGGGAGAGTAATTGCTCTCTGATAACAACACCCCCCCCCCCACCCCCCGGGCACACCACGCTCTCCTCGAGGACACCTTTGCACCAGAGGGGCCGTCTGGCAGCTCTGAAACCTGAAACAGGTGGTGCCGAGCCGACTGCACCTTACTGAACGCCTCYCCCGTTTCTCCTTTGACACCTCTATCTGATTGCCTCTTGTTTACAGACACTTGATTACG